CTCTCGCAAACGCATCCGTACAAAACAAAGGGGGACTTCCCAGAACAGAAAGAGAGCTCATTGCAACGGGTCACTCGACCCTCTGTTAAACTCAAACAATCTTCCTCCCCTCAAAAAAACAAGGGGAAAAGAGACAAGACCTGCACCCTGATTACAGGGCGGGTCCAAGTGACTAGCCCAACAATCCAAAGGAACCAAAGGGGAAAGGACCCTCTTACAGGGCGGTCCCTCGGGCTAGCCGATTAATGGAAAATATATCACAAGTAAGAGAAAAGGAGGAGACCTGAACCCTACTTACAGGGTGGTCACTCAGCCCAATGCATTAAGGGGAATCTAGTCCTCTCTAAATAAGAGGCACATGACCTGCACCCTAATTACAGGGCAGTCAAACTGACCAGGCTGAGAACAAGACACAATCCCAGATGAGCAAAGGACAGAGACCTTACCCTAGTTACAGGGAGGTCACACGGCTCAAGTAAGAAAGCATCAGTAGCTCCCATAAGTGAGGGGAAGGTGACTCTGACCCTGATTACAAGGTGATCACTCTGACTAGCTGAATTAAAGAGGATAATCACAGAAGACAACTTTAGACCTGAACCCTGATTACAGGGCGGTCACGCTCCTAAGGACCCTAAAATAACCCTCATCCCTGATAAATGAGAGGGATTCGACCTGCACCCGAATTACGGGGTGGTCACTCTGATTAGAACGATAAAGGTGCATAAAGCCAGAGAGCAAAAGGGCAGAGACCCGACCCCGAATTACAGGGCGGTCACGCTCCACAAGGTATCAAAGGGCTAAGTACTTCCCATACTACAGAAACTTGTGACATGCACCCAAATTAGAGGTGGTCACTTTGACTAGACTGTCAGAAGGATATGATGCGAAAACAGCAAGAGTGCAGAGACCTGACTCCGAATTACAGGGAGGTGAATCACACTGCTCAGGGTTCCAAAGAGCTCAGTATCCCCAGAAGCAACAGGAATATGACTTGTACCCTGATTACAGGGTTGCCATCCTGACTAGAGGGCCACAACAAGGCATAATGCCAAACGAGCAAGTGGGCAAAGAGCCCGACTCTAGTTACAGGGCGGTCACATTGCTCAAGTTACCAAAGAGCTCAATTCCCTCAAAATCGAGGGGAGGGGGTGACTTGAACCCTGACTACAAAGTATTCATTCTCACTAGTCAGCTAACGGAGCAAAATGTCAAAAGGACAAAACAGCACAGACCTGGACCCTGATTACAGGGTAGTCATGCTGCTCAAGATATTAAAAGGCTCGAGATCCCCATACAGTGTAATTACATGACCTGAGGCCTGATACAGGAAGGTTACTGTGCCCAGAGTCCCTTTCCTTTTCCTCCATCTTCTTGTCCTCTTTGCTCCTCTTTGCTTGACAGTTCTCAGACACTTTTTTCATCTTGTGTTTGGAATTTCTGGAAATAGAATGATATAGTAGAAGACAGACATTAGAACAAGTCCCAAGTTCTCCCCTCAAAAGTCAGTTATGTAATTATGATTTCTATGAAAAACCCTTTATTGCACCATTAATTAGAAAAGGCTGTATTGGTTTAATTATTCTGAGTGTATTATAGGAACAGCTACATTTTATTTTTCCTAACATCAATTCAGAGTCTCTTCACTCCAAATAAGTCATGCAAAAACATGAGCATTTCCACAGTGTTTAGATTTCTCTCCTCCTGTGTTACCTGAGCCTTTCCCGCCCTGGCCCTGAGCCCCTCCTCCAACATCACTTCAGCCTTTCCCGCCTAGGCTCTGAGCCTCCTCCTGTGCTATCTTAGCCTTTTCTGCCCAGACCCCTCCTTCAGTGTCACCTCAGCCTTTCACACACAGACCCTGAGCTCCTACTCTGTCATCACCTCAGCTTTTCCACACAGGCTCTGAGACCCTTCTCTGGTATCACCTCAGCCTTTCCCACCCAGTCCCTGAGCCCCTCCCCCGGCATCACCTCAGCCTTTCCCACCCAGTCCCTGAGCCCCTCCCCGGCATCACCTCAGCCTTTCCCGCCCAGACCCTGAGCCCCTCCCCCGGCATCACCTCAGCCTTTCCCGCC